AATGTTGAGCTCTGCTCTGATTGGCTGTTTCGCAGTGCGGCTCAATGTTGAGCTCTGCTCTGATTGGCTGTTTCACAGTTCGGCTCAATGTTGAGCTCTGCTCTGATTGGCTGTTTCGCAGTTCGGCTCAATGTTGAGCTCTGCTCTGATTGGCTGTTTCGCAGTGCGGTTCAATGTTGAGCTCTGCTCTGATTGGCCATTTCACAGTAGAAGGTAAATACAGCTTTCCATTCTATGGCACCTTTAATAGGTTTCATCTGAAGCCACTTCACTAGATACCTAATTGCACAAGACCCGATACCTGTTTCTCCTGAGACCTGAAACCTTTAAAACGGAGGCACAATGCAAATTGCCGAGGCTTGACAATGTTCTAATATGTACACTGTATTCTATACATTTCTATTTCAAGACACAAGCATGTTCAGTCTCTACATCACACACAGCATGACATCAGTTACTGCCTCACATACTTGAGTGTCTGCAGTGAGCAGTTAGGATCGTTCAGTTTGTCACTGAGTCGCTGGACTCCTGATTGTCCTGGGTGATTGTAGCTCAGATCCAGCTCTCTCAGGTGTGAGGGGTTTGAACTCAGAGCTGAAGACACAAAACCACAGCCTTCCTCTGTCACCATACAGCCAGACAACCTACACACACACACACACACACACACATCAACAGTCTGATAATCTACAAACAACTGGGCTGGATACACGTACATTGGCATTTAGGACGTAAAAATATCTTTATGTCAGTGTAAAATAATAAAAATATTTAAATTCATTTAACACATTACTATAACAAAGAAAACCTTGTAAAGACATTTTGGGTGTTCTCACAGGATAAAATGGATCATAAATGTTCCAAAGGATGTTTCCTTTTGAAACCAATGAGGTACACAATTTTGTGTAGGGCAGGGGTTCTCAACTCTGGCTCTCGAGATCCATTTTCCTGCATATTTAACTTCAACCTTGATCTAACTCACCTCCCTGTACCTTTATAGTAATCATAAAGATTGATTAGCTTGTTCAGGTGTGTTTGATTAGGGTTGGAGCTAAACTCTGCAGGAAAATGGACAACAAGAGCCAGAGTTGCGAACCCCTGGTTTAAGGGTTTCTTTATAATCTAGGTCTTCAACCCTGCTCCTGGGGACCAACTGTCCTGCAAGCTTTATTTCCAACCAGCTTTAGCATACCTGGCCTGTGATTTTTCTAGTGATCCTGCAGACCTTGATTAGCTGGTTCAGGTATGTTTGATAAGTTTGTAGTTAAACTCTGCAGGACAGTGGGTCCCCAGGAGCATGGTTGAAAACCTATGCTTTAGGATTAGGGATCAGGTTAATATAGTCTAAATCAGGGGGTAGTTGCATAATCTTAAACGCTATGTTAAGACAGCATTTTAAGAACTAGTCTGACCAACTATCAGTAAGCCAAGTGGTAATCAGTCAGTATTTAAGCCATTTTTCCTAAAAATTCTAAATTTGGATAACTTGATTAACTCTTTCACCACCATTGACAGAATTTTCCGTCTTTCCGTGTTTTCACTGGTATATGGTAGGAGGTGCTACTACACATCTTCTGAAAGATTATCGAACGTCTGGATCAAAACACAGCGAATAAGAAGCAAAAACAAGCAAGCAGAAAGCAGAAACATATGTAAAATAATGTGATCATCAAACATGAATCATCAAAATTGCCTAGCGTTACTGAATGAAACGTCAATCCAGGAAGTGGTATATGACCATGCAAGCTTCGGGGGTGTTGATGGAAGCAATCCATTTAATCTTTATTTTGATCATTGATCTGAATCTGAAAATTTTCTCTGCTTTTTGTTCATTTTTTTTTTTAAATGAAACTTATTCAAGTGTTGAACATTTTGTGAAAATGATCAAAAATGCTGGTGGTGGCTGGCAACTTAAAAAAAAAAAACACTGGCAGGGAAAGAGTTCAAATCATTTTTAGTGTGTCAACAGAATAAAACCATTATTATAGCAAAATCTCTAGTAATTTATATTTGAAATTGTTGTCATGATACAGTCATATCGTCATGCCCCAATCTTATAGAATTTATGAATGTTGCATTAGTTTAATATTTTTCAGTATCAGCTTGTGTGACACCGAACTGTGTTGTGATATTTAACCAGTACAGGTAAGTGACTGTGATTTAAACTAGAAGTGACATGCTCATTCAAATTGTACCCCCTCAGATTTTTCAAATCAATTTTAATTCACCTAAGACCTTTTTAAGAACTGAACTAATAAAATGTACACCTTATGCCCATATCATAACAAACCCACAGCATCATATATCACTGATTTTTTTCTTTTCTTTAACAGGCTGCATACACATTCAACTTGGCCTTTGAATTTACTGGCTTGTTTATTGCATACATGATACCATTCAAATGTCGGGTCAGTTTTACTTACGTTTTTTAAAAGTTAATTAAAACGAAAAGTAAAGTTAGTAGCATTTAACATATTACAATTCTAAAAAAAGTGCTTGCATAATTCCTATTACATACACCACAACTAAACAGTAATATGCCAGTGGTCTGGCTTTCTTTTGATGCAGCCCAGCAGTCTGCACCCTAATCTCTGCAAAATACTCTTTTTACATACCTCAGTATCTGCAGCTGACAGTTTGGACTCTTCAGTCCATCAGAGAGCAGCTTCACTCCTGAATCCTGCAGGTCATTGTTACTCACGTCCAGCTCTCTCAGGGCACAGTTAGAGGATTGTAGAGCTGATGACACAATTTCACAGGACTGACCAGTGAGATTACAGCTGGGCAATCTGAACAGAACAATGGGGGGGGACATTTCACAGCCATTTTATTATACAAAGTTTTAAATGCCCTCTTTGATTGTACAGTAGAATACAGATTTGTCAGATATCTGAAAATGGCGAAAAATGGCACTTCATGCAATTTTTAAATGTAAAATTATTTAATACATGCCAGTGTTGAGATAACTGCTCTTACACAATAATTAATAAATGGCTAAATCCTTATAAACACCTCAGTATCTGCAGCTGACAGTTTGGACTCTTCAATCCATCAAAGAGCAGCTTCACTCCTGAATCCTGCAGATCATTATTAGTCAGGTCCAGCTCTCTCAGGGCAGTGTTTGAGAACTCAAGAGCTGATGATAAACGCTCACAATACTGAGCAGTGAATCTACAGTCAGCGAATCTAGGGGGGGAAATATGTAAATATGCTGTCAGTGTTTTCTTTTTAATCCTTATTAGTTCAAACAGGCTTTAGAGGTATAATTCACTCAAAATGTATGTAGGGGTGTGCAATATGACAATATTAGATGTGAATATTAGATCTATCAGCTGCAGTCCAGTGGCTACTTTTTGATTATTATTGTTTTTATCTTTATCATGGTTACATTCACGTGACAGTTCAGTTTTTCATTGTTTAATCAAATGTATTATTTGCATGCATTTTAAAGCCTTGCCAATCATTTAAACAAAACTTTGTTAAAACAAATGTTTTCATGCACACGCTCTGACATACATTTTTCTGATCACACACCGTTCTTTTGTGTCTTAATTAGACGTGTGTCAGTAGAATTAATAGATCTGTGCATTCTGTCTTAATGTTATAGCAGCCTAATATAACCTTTTGCTGCGTCATTAACTTTAAAATACAACAAAAGCCATTGTTTTTTACTTTACAAAATCTCCCATTGTAATACTATGGTGTACTCACAGAGCTTTTGTGCAGTTGCTCGCAGCTGGTATCAATCTTTTTCTACCCTCATCTGATGTGTTGTATCTCTTCAGATCAAACTCATCCAGGGGCCCCTCTGACATCTGAAGCATGTAGGCAATTGTTGAGCATTGAGCAGGAGAGAGCTTCTTCTCTGAGTGTTTGTCTGATTTCACAAACTCCTGAATCTCTCTGGACAGACTCTGATCTTTCACTTCCAGCAGGCAGAGGAACAGATTGATGGATCTTTCAGTGGAGAGTCCATGTCCATCTTTGATCTTCTCTTTAATGCACTGTGAAGTTCTCCTGATGCTCTCTGAGCTGTTCTCTGTGTGTGTCAGTAGATCCTGTAAGAGTCTCTGATTGGACTCCAGTGAGATGCCCAGCAGGAACCGCAGGAACAGATCCAGATGTCCATTCTCACTCCCAATGGCTTTATCTATTGCTCCTTTATGAAGATAATGCATTGAATCAAAAACCTTAAGGGTCTCCATTGTACAGCTTAAGTAGCAGTAAAACACATGAAAAGCAGCGAGAAACTCCTGAATGCTCAGATGAATGAAGCTGTAGACTTTCCTCTGATGAATCACAGATTCCTCCTTGAAAACATCAGTGTGATTCTGCTTTCATCCAGACCATCAAAGATAAACACAATTTTACACTCCTCATAAGTCTTTGAGTCCAGATCTTGAAGTTCAGGATGAAAGTCCAGCAGAAGTCTCTGAAAACTATATTGATGATCTTGAATCAAGTTCAGCTCTCGAAATGGAATCAAAAACATGAAATCTACATCCTGATTGGCTTTTCCCTCGGCCCAGTCCAGAATGAACTTCTGCACAGAGATGGTTTTTCCGATTCCAGCGATGCCTTTAGTAAGAACAGTCTTGGTTTGGTCTTTCTCCTCACATCCGGGTTCAGGTGAGGCTTTAAAGATGTCATTGCAGTAGATGGACGTGTCTTGTGCGAGTTGAGTTCTGGCTGTTTTCTCCATCTGTAAAACCTCATGTTCTTCATTCACTCCATCACGCTCTCCTTCTATGATGTAAAGCTGTGTGTAGATCCTGTTGAGGAGGGTTTCATTCTCTTGGAGTTTCATTCCCTCAAATAAGCTCTCGTACTTGTTCTTCATTCTGGTTTTGTGCTCGTCTTTGACTCTCTGAAGTTTATCATCTACTGCTTTCTGCAGGTCTCCAGTCTCCTCCTGTTGGGCTTTTTGTGTGTTAGAGTCAGCAGAACTGGATGCTCCCATGACTGTTTGTAGAGCAGAATGTGTTCTAGATTTCTTTCTGTAATGAGGACAATCAAAGTATTCTGCTCGTCTCAATTTCTCCCAGAAACAGATAATGCATTGTCTGCAGAAACTGTGTCCACAGGTTATAGAGACTGGATCTTTCAGAACCTCCCTACACACCACACATTTGGACTGCACAAAGATCCGATAATCCCTCTCACAACTGCTCACAATAGAAAAACAACGTTTTGAATCAATAGAAGAATTATTTGCACAAGATAATTAACATCAGCCTATGTTTGCATTGGTAATTAGGACTACAATATTACCCTGTGATTTCTATAATGTGCAAAACAGATGGAATCGCAGAATCCCAGTGATGAAATTTGAAAAAATTTTAAAATAGGAATATACAATTCATTAAATTAAAAATCACAATATGGACTTGAGTCTGTGATTATTAAACTACAAAAAGACTTATTAAAATATGTGTGAATGAACAGTGACCAACACAATATTTAATTTAATAATAAAATAAAGCATACAAAAAAGCTTAAATGGTTTGATAATGTTTTTGAAGTAAACTTTTCTAAACAGCTTTTCTGTTATTAAAGCGATGCTGCATAGACACAGGTAATTCACACACGCACACTCTCTCTGTTGCTAACACAGACAATCTAATACAATCTCTCTCTAGCTATTCGAATAAAAGCTATCCTTCCAAACTACTTCATCTCTGTGTCTGATATAAAGCATGCAAAATATGCAAAGTACTTATGCGTCACGCAGATGCATTACCTACGTTGTTTACGCTTTGATCTGAACGTAAACAACGTATCCGCGTGACGCAGCTGACACAGAACAGCCAAAATGGCACCAGGGTGACTCGGAGGAGATGATTTGTTGAATAAAGTCGTTATTTTTGTTTTCTTTTGTGCACAAAAAGTATTCTCGTAGCTTCGTAAAATTACAGTTGAACCCCTGATGTCACATGGATTATTTTACCGATGTCCTTGATCGCGTAAGGATCCTTGCTGTCTATGGCAGGGTCAGAGAGTTCAATTTCAGAATGAATCTGTTGCGTGGTTCGGAGGTTAGATGCGTTAGATACTGAAGCATACACACACAGAAACTCGTCTCACAGCGCGCGAGTAGGCCTACTCTTTTGCGTCGCATGAACGAAGAATTACACACAAAATTATGTCGAATTGTCAGTTTTGACGAGTATTCACGTAAACACAGTTGTTTACGTCTTAAGTGAATGTAAACAGTAGGAAGAACGTGTATCAGTACATTGCATCCATTGCAGCTGTGCATTCGGTTTTAAAGGGACAGCAGCCTAATTTGCTATTGTCCGAGTCATTGATGTTA